AAGTGGCGCTGTAGCTCAAGTGGTAGAGCGCTCGCCTTGAGCTGAAGAGCTGAGGGACAGCGCCCAGGCCCAGAGTTCAAGCCCCACGACCGACAAAAACAAAAACAAAACCTAGAGCTCCTCTGTTTCCTCCACACCCACTCTACCCAAGACAACATTTCCAACGTATTACACGATGTCCTGGACACCATGCAATTTCATTCAGGTGATTTTTACCTTTTAAATTTGCCACCATTATCACCTACCCTCAACCTCCTGAATAACTGGGATTATTGGAGCTGCCAGGCTGTATTCTGCAGTATTTTTCTATGAGTTCACCCCATCTGCACATTTACAAGGGAAGCAGGTGACTTGCACATGGGAGATGGAAGTGGAAGCCATGGGAGGGGGGTCTGTGCTTTTCTTCCCTGACAGACACAACCGCCTCCTGACTTCTAACCTTCCCCCTAAAGACCCAGACACCGCCAGGAAGCCAAGGAGGCCTTTCTGTAGGAGGGACAGCTACTTGTGCTGGTCACTCTGGGGAAAGGACTTCATGGCTGCTTCTACTGACCCCAGTTGGGGTCTGTGTGTCACTATGTCCAATGCTCACAGAGGGTCCCTGAAGAACAGAGGGCTCAATGTCCTGCCAGCCTCCCCAGTTCCTCTAGTCTGTGGTAAGTACAACCTCCCCAGACCCAGAAAGGGACCTATGAGGTGTAGGTCAGCCTGTTCCCCATGAAGGCCAGCAGTGCCCAAGAATCAACAGAGGCCCTGGGAATAAAGACAGGTTTTTTCCATGCACCAGAAATGGATAAACACACAAGGAGGGGACAGGGCCTGAGGCCCCAGGGCGGCTGGCCCTCCTCTCTGGCTCACCCCAGGCTTGGAAACTGCTCCTGCTGACCCCACAAAGCAGAGCAGGAGCTCGTTTGCTGCCAGTTACCACCAGGATACAGAGCAGAGCATGCGCCTGCCTTCTATCTATGTATTTGTTTCTGACTATAAATTCTTTGTGGAGGGAAAACCCAAAACATTTTAGAAATACTCCCCCCAGAGGTGTTGAAACTTCCTTCTTGTTTTTGTATTATTTGCTTTTCCCTAAGAGCACAATTGACCCACTGGATTAGGAAAATAACTGGGGAAGGACCAGGGTATATGACAGACTGAACAGACCTGAGGGACATCAATCAAAGGCAAAGCATGGGACATTCTTGCCTGGCTCAGAGTGAGCTCGTTTCTGGAGTGCTGTGCCACGCTCCCTTGATAGGAGTTTACAGACTGTTTTTCGGGTGGCTTTGTTGCAGGGTGAAGGGTGAAGACAGGGAGGCCGGAGGAGCACATGGGCATTTACTTCCATTCAACTCTCAACCTACCTAAATTGTTGTATTTCTTATTTACATATTTGTTTATTTTGAGACAGTCTAGCCGGCCCTGAACTTGGAGGGTCAAGTGATCCTCCTGCTTCAGCCTGGGATGTGAGGCGAATGCTACCACACCCCACTCACAGTATTTCCTAAGAGCAGGTAACAGTGCACCGCTGAGGATAAAACCCAAGAATACCACCATTATGGTCTGCATGGACTCCTCATGCTTCCGGAGCCTGAGCTAAGCCTCAGGTATAAATGTTGCCACCTGCCTCGTGCCCAAGGGCCCCTCAGCCCGCCCTCCCGGTATCTCCTTTAAGACACCCACTCATTAGCCCGCATCTGGTTCAGCTCCCTGGCCCCAAGCCCAGAACACAGCCTCACTGCCAGGTGGTCTGCAGACTCCAGGCTTCAAGAGTACTCAGGGCCACAGCAGGTATGGGGATCATGGAAAAGTTTTCATGAAGAAAAGGAAAGCACCCACCCCACCGTACCTCAATCATCCAGGCTCTCCTTCTGACTGCTGAGGTTTCTACTAGCACTGCATAATCTATGTATTTATTATTTACTATTACTCGATATATACATTTACATTGTTATTATTTTATATATACATATTATTACCTTTATATATATACTTACAGTAGTGCTGGCCCTAGGACTTGAGCTCAGAGCCTAGGCACTGTTCTTGAGCTTTTTTCTCAAGGCTAGCACTCTACCACCCGAGCCACAGCTCTACTTCCAGTTTTGTTTTTGGTTTTTGGTGCCCAATTTCTGTCCCTAGTTGGCCTTAAACTGGGATTCTCAAATCTGAGCCTCTTAAGTAGCTAGGATTACAGGCGTGAGCCACCAGTGCCTGGCACAGCACATTCTATTTTTATACCTCAGAATCCATTCTAGCACCTGCCTGTTTCAGTGAGGTCCCTGCACATGCGCCCCATCTGCTGAAAGCTGCTCAAAACCGGCTAAGGCAGAAACCCCTAGGGAATGGGAACACCACCACCGGGAACACCACCACCACCACCACCTCCTACAGGCCATTTTTCAAACTGCCAAGTTTCCTTTGAGTTATTTAACCTTATTTCCAAAGGCTTCTGTCTCTAGGCCCACCAATACGGGCAGAATGCCCTTTTCAAGTCAGGCTTTCTTTTGGCACCACAGTTGCAGCTGAGAACAAAACAGGCCAAATTTCTCCTTTGGGAACCTTACAATGGGAAATGTGTTTAAATGCTGTCTTTGTGTGTGCAATTTTTTTTTTTTTAAAGAAGGCACACGAGAGTAAGGGCAGCATAGCAGTAAGGATTGAAGGCCCGAGGAGTGGGAGAGACTGGGGTTTGACGCTTCCCATGTGGCCTGGGGACCCCAAGTAGTCTTGGTTCCTCGTTTGTAAAAGGGGGAGAACCACAAGGAGGCTGGACAAAGTGCAAACTCAGCATTCCCACAGAGCTGGTGAGCCAGGAAATTTCCACACTCATTTTCTTGTCCATACTATTCAACCCTGGCTTTTCCACATAAGAAATCTCACTCGTTTACATCAATGTTTGGCTGGTCTTCAGGAGAAAGCCAACATCTGACAATGCCCAGGCTTGCCTTTTTGGCCACCCACAGGACTAATTATAACAACATTGTCTAAATGAAAAGCTTGTTTCCTGTGACTAGCATGAGGCTTGACTAGGGATGTGCACGTGGTGAGCTATGCATTCAGTCCATCTAGCTTTTCATATCCCTCTGTGCAAGAAAGGTACCCGATGATTCGAGGTGATGGGTGCATGTCCCCAGAAGCCCGGTCTAGGGACAACAGACTGTAGCTGAGTTCACAGTGATCAAGACCCAAGGAGAGGCTCAGCAAGACTGGGGGATGGCTCTGGAGAGGAGTGGGGACCAGTCAGTTCAATCTCTGGTCACAGAAGTGTGGTGAAGGGAGAAGCAGAGGGCAGATTACTACGATGGCCATGGAATCTCTGCCGGAGCCTGGAATGGCCAGGTCATGAGACGGGTGAAGGTGGAGAGATCACATTGCTGGTGAACACAGGCCCAGAGAGTAGCTGATAAGCAACAAAGCAGACACTGAGCAAACAAGACCATTTCTTAGCAGGACTTCCAAGTTCTGTGTGCCCAAGGGTCCTGGGGTCAAAGCCAATCTGGTGATTACCAAGCCATCACTTATGAAGGGCTCATTCTGTACTGAGGACATGTGCTTTTGAGATTCAAGCCCAGGACCTCAGTTGAACAGTGCTGTCGCCCCATTTCGAGATGGGGAAGCTGAGACCTCTGACTGGGAGGTGTCCTTACCGATGCTGTGTCTCCGGGCGGTAGTAGTAGTCCACAGGGGTGTCAAGCCGGGAGAAGATGGGCGGGGGGATATAGAGCGGCACATCCCTCTGGAAGAAGGCCTGCTTCTCGGGCTTGAGCAAGAGCAGCTTGTCATACATTGACACATGCTTGTCACCCTCTTCCGTGTGCACAGCCAAGTACTGGAAGTCAGACATTCCTGGAAAGAGAGGCAGACAGATGGCACCACCACAAGGACACCCGCCCAGGAACAGGCAGCTGCTGTGCCAGCACCTGGCCTCTCAGGGAAGCACTAAGCCAGCTGTGCACTGATGGGCGTGGAGACGAAATCAGCACCTCCAACTCTGGAGCAAACTAGCTGGGTGCCCTCCAGGCTGCTTTTGAAAAAATGCCTGAGGGAGGGGAAAGGGGAGGAGAAGCAGGGGTGTGACAGGACAGCAAGGATGAAGTCCAAGGCAGCCTGCGTATAGCACCACCTGGGGCCTGGCCACACACAGCTTGAGATGGACCACGCTCCAGGGCCACAGGGAGCTACCATATGTAATATGTGAGGACCCACTGGGCTGCTAGTTCCAGAATGAACAGCCCTCGCTGGTAAGTGCACCACTGACCAGGGTGATTGGCACCGTTGACCAGCCAAGGGTAGGGCCAGTTTTCATCACTCGCCCTTTCCCCCGTCTCTCTGGTTTTCTTTTCCATTCTCAGTTCTTAGTCTCTTCCAATTCTGTCTTAAAACAGAAACTGTAACTATGGGCATGTCTAAGTCTAGTTGGTAATGTATAAAGGCCTCCCCTGGGCCTGGGCCTGTCCCTGGCACAACATTGTCTCAAGGGCCTGCTCAGGGACTGCCATAAGATAAGCAACCTCCCCAAAGAAACATGGGGCTCAGGCAGGCCACATTTCAAAGTCCATACTGTTTTCCACCCTGCCTCTCAGCCCAGATCTTCCTGTCTCCTCCCTGACATGCCCTGTAAGTAGCAAACCTTACTGTAAACCAACACCAAAGAAGGCAGGCAGTTCGGAGGAGCATGAGGGGAGTGAGGCTGAGTCAGCTAGCAAGGCTCAAGAAGAGGCTTAGTTTCCAGTTAACACTGAAGAGAAAGCCGGCTGCCAGTGGCTCAAGCCTGTAATCCTAGCTACTCAGGAGGCTGAGATCTCAGGATCACAGTTCAAAGTCAGCCAGGGTAGAAAAGTCCCTGAGACAGTTATTTCCAATTAACCACCAGAAAACCAGAAGTGGCACTATGGCTCAAGTGGCAGAGCATTTGCCTTGAGCTGAAGAGCTGAGGACAGAACTTAGGCCCAGAGTTCAAGCCCCACGACTGACCAAAAAAAAAAAAAAAAAAGACTGAAGAGAAACTGGGCATGGCTGAGCACTTCTCTAATCCTGGTGACTCCAGCTACCAATGAATGGGAGGGTCACTTAAGCCTAGAAGTTCAGACTAGCCTGAACTACACAGCCAGACCCTTCTCAAAACAAAAACAGCAAAACAACACAAAAAGATAAGGAGGGTTCTAAAACCTAGGGGAAACCAAATGCCCAACAATTTGATCTGGCTGCACACAATGGCTTTGCTGTCTCACAGAACTCTGGATTTTGGCTTCTCTTAAGGAAGCAGAAGCTTATGCAGCAGGGCACACACAGGATGCGTGCTTCCAGGACGGGGCTTCTGCTCTGTGGTCCCTATAGCCCTGACCTGGGCACATCCTAGCTACTTTCCTGGTACAGAGGACCCAGTGTGTGCACCTACAGCAGACCTTAAAATAACCCTACACCACACTAGGTTTCTCAGATACCCTGAAATTTGTAAATGGTGGAGACGATGCCAAGGATCTCCATGTTGAATGAGGCCTCGGGGCAGGCTTCAGCCGCCTGCTCCCCTCTGCGCCGCCTTGTCCTTTTCCTGATCCGAAGCAGCAAGCTGCTGGTACTGAAGCGGTTGGCACACACTGGGTGGCAGTATGGGTCCTTGGGCCGGAAGTACAGCTCCAGTCTCTTGGTGGGGTCTGTGTAGATCTGCAGCATGACCACAGGAGACAGAAGAGCACTGAGCAGCTAACATCCAACAGGGTGGGGCTCCTCCCTCCACAAAACCCTTTTGTAGCCAAGGAAGGGCCAGGAGGTCATGTTCCATTCTGAGGTTTTCCTTTTGTGCCTATCTGGGGGCTTGAACTCAGGGGGGGGCCTCTCTTGCTTGGTTTTTGACTCAAGGTTGGCACTCTACTTACCATTTGAGCCAGATTACCATTTCCAGTCTTCTACTGATTAACTGTGGAGATAAGAGTCTCATGGACTTTTCCTGTGTGGTCTGGCTTGGAACTGTTGATCTCAACTTCCTGAGCTAGGATTACAGACATGAGCCACCAGCATCCAGCCATTCTGAGTTCTTTATTGACCCCCAAAGACTCACTTTTTAAACCCTGTGTCTCCATGTTTATTCTCATAAAATGAGGACAAAATCCTGACAAATGAGGACAAATAGTCTCCTCCAGAGTTCTATCCATGAAATAAAGTACTGTTAGTATTCACAACCCCATGAATGTGACTGAGGCATCTATATTAGGAGTGGACAGGAAGTAACATTTATTAAGTCTATATGAATGTTTTCCCTTGAGAGCAGTTATCTTACAAAAACTAAGTGTAGCAGGTATATTAGATGCTTGTGAAAGGTGATTAAAAATTAAAATTGCACCTGGCGCCGGTGGCTCACACCTGTAATCCTAGCTACTCAGGAGGCTGAGATCTGAGGATCGAGGTTCAAAGTCAGCCCGGGCAGGAAAGTCCATGAGACTCATCTCCAATTAACCAGCAGAAAACAGGAAGTGGCGCCGTGGTTCAAGTGGTTGAGCTGAAGAGCTGAGGGACAGCGCCCAGGCCCGGAGTTCAAGGCCCATGACCGACAAAAACAAAACAAAGCAAAACAAAACACAAAAAGGTGTGTAGCCACCTTTAACCCTGAGGGACGATGCGACACCCTCGGCTCACATCTGGAGAGCCGCCGCCCGGCTCC